TACCCCCAGGGGTTGTCAGTCCACTCTGTGGTCTCTCATTCCAGTCCCTGAACACTCCTGCTACCCCCAGGGGCTGTCATTCCACTCCATGGTCTCTTATTCCAGTTCCAGAACACTCCTGCTACCCCCAGGGGCTGTTATTCCACTCCATGGTCTCTTATTCCAGTTCCAGAACACTCCTGCTACCCCCAGGGGCTGTCATTCTTATCCCTGTGAGCTTAAAAATGAGAAACGCCATGCCTGCTACCCCCAGGGGCTGTCATTCTTATCCCTGTGAGCTTAAAAATGAGAAACGCCATGACTACAAGGCAGGAATTGCAACTTTTTGAGCCAAATGCAAGCTCTTACTCGAAAAAGCTGCTGACTGTGCATTGCCCAGTCATATTCAGTGATTATAAATGTAATAAACAGATAAATTTCAAATAAATTTTTTTTCAGGACTGGTACATAGGGATGAGTAAAAGCAGCCATGCAGGAATCAAACCAACAATGCTCTGATTTACAGGGCAGGAATTTACCCACTGAGCTAAACACAAGGTCTTATGTTTTACTGCTGTGTGTGCCTACTACAGCTTAAAGTAAATCTCCCCTCCCTCCGGTAAACTTTAAAATGTCCCATAAAGCGGGGGGGGGGGGGTCAAGAAAATAAATGGTGTGAAAGCGGATACATAAGTTTTGGAAGATAAGATTTGAGGGCTGGTAAGATGCTGAACTGCAGGCTGTGGAAGGTCAGTAGTTCAGCAGTTCGAGACCCAAGTTGCCGCATGACGGAGTGGGCTCCCGTCTCTAGTTCCAGCTCCTGCCAACCTAGCCGTTCAAAAGCAAGAAATTGAAAGTAGATAAATAGGTACCACTTTGGTGGGAAGGTAACAGCGGTCTGTGCGCCTTGGTGTTTAGTCATGCCGGCCACATGACCACGGAAACGTCTTCGGACAGCGCTGGCTCTTCGGCTTTGAAACGGAGATGAGCACCGCAACCCTAGAGTCGGACTCGACTGGCTTCCGAGCAAGGGACCCTTTACCTTTACTTTACTTTTTACATAGCTATGAGGAAATAGAGCCAAGTGGGAATAAAATTAGAAACACCATTTCTGGATTTAAACATTTTGAGATAAATGCAAGCTCTTACTGCACCAGTAGTGAAATTAAAAATGTTTGGTCAGTCTGTAAAAGGGGTCAAGAAATAAAAGCTTCAAAACAAGATAAAAATTTTAAAAGTTATCTTGGGGGCTAGCTAGTAAAAAGAGAAAAGAGTACTGTTGGAATCGAACCACTAGTTACCACCTAGTTTTTTGTGTGCTACCTGTTGGAATTATTTAAGAATTAGTGGAGCAATGGCTCAAAAATGTCTGCATTAGGTTGACAGCGCAACGAAACCAGAAAGGAGGTGTTAGAGCAGCAAAGAACAGCATTCATTTAAACCAGTGCGGAGTGGCTATGACAATGGAGTCACTACCAGAGGGCGGGAAACATATGCAGACATTGATTTTTATACTGGTGCACTGCCAGCATGAAACTGGATGCAAATGTAGACAGTTTGTTGGGGACGGGAACGAAAATGTCAGGAAACCGGCAAGAAACACATATGTGGATTCAACCTTAGAGGAGAAGCTTGTGGGCTTTTTTTTTTTTTACCTCAGAACACTGTGATCCACAGCTGAGCAATCAGAGGGAGGTGGGTGCAAGCAGGCAGGTTTGACCACAGAACTCTCTCTCACACACACACAAAACCTTTATTGGCATTGAAAGCACAAGACATCATGGAAATACAGCAAAATACTAAGATGCATCAGTCACACTTGGCTATTCAAGCCTTGTCTTCTGATTGCATAGTATAAAAAAATTGCAACAGCCTCCATTATTTCGCAATTAGAATTAAACAGAAGAAAGTGAACAATTGAGTCATCAGAATGCCAGCTCTTACCCTCTAGAAGTGGAGTAATAAAACGAGATCGAATATCCCTATAAAGGGGGCAATGAAGTATGGTGTGTGTAGTGGATTCTATATCTTTTAGATAACAAGGACAAAGTCTGTCTACATATGGTATCTGGCAGTACCTCCCTAAAAGCACCTCCAATGGCAGAACATTAAAGCGTGCAAGCATGTATGCTCTGTGATGGTGTGGGGCTGTTAAACTTAACAGATATTTCACAGTAGAGCCTGTGTCAAAAGTCCCCAGCCTACTTGGGGCGCATCTGCTGGCTGCGCGTTCCCTAAATTCTTGCCTTTCGATGTCGAGGAATCTTTGTTTAATAATAGCATAGGCTTGTTTATCTGAAAAGGGGGCTAAATAATCCAGGGATATTCCCATTGTAGAGAGTTTCTCCTCTACATATCTAAGCCATGGAGAGAGATGGGACTCAGTTAACATGTGAGTAATAATACTTTTAGCTTTAGCATGGAAATGAAGTTTAAGCCAAAACTGAGTTGTTATCAGCCATGCTCTGGTCGATAGAAGCCTTTGATTGGTTTCTAAGCATAAAGCTGCACAAGTAACACACAAGGGAAGTCCAAGAATTTTCCACAAAAATCTGGACTGAATTCTTTCCAAGTCCCCTTTTAAGGCTTCAATCCAGATTGGTACTCCATAAAATAATTGAGCAGCTAATTTGGCATTTAAAACTTTAAGGGCCGCCAGCACATACTGGTTACCTCTGGTATAATGGAAACATGTAATTGCCACGGCGATGTTGTTCGCTGCCTCAGTTGCTCTCTCTTTATGATAGACCCATCTGGTGTTATAGTAAAAGTGGATACCCAAATACTTAAAGCTTTTGACTTGTTCAATGAAATGGCCTCCAATATTCCATCTGAACGGCTTCCAACTCTTACTGCAGATCATAATTTTGGATTTTTCAGCATTCAGAACTAGCCTATTCTTTTCACAATAGTCTACAAAGCTCTTCAAAAGACGTTTTAGCCCTATACGAGTTAGGGACAATAGCACTGCATCATCAGCATAAAGGAGTAAAGGGGTGGGAATCGAGCCAAGTTTAGGACTGTGACCATTGATTGGATCTAAGGTAGGTGCCAAATCATTTATAAATAGGTTGAATAAAAAAGGCGCTAAAAGGCAGCCCTGTTTGACTCCTATATTAATTGGAATTTTGTCAATTTGGTCACCAGCCAGTATCATAATGCCCCTATATAAATCAATGGTGAGACATCATTTGGAATATGGTGTGCAGTTCTGGTCACCACACCTTAAAAAGGATATAGCTTTGGAAAAAGTGCAGAAAAGGGCAACTCGAATGATAAAAGGGCTGGAACACTTTCCCTATAAGGAAAGGTTAAAGCACTTAGGGCTCTTTAGCTTGGAGCAACGACGACTGAGGGGTGACATGATTGAGGTTTATAAGATTATGCATGGGATAGAGCAGGTAGAGAAAGAGGTACTTTTCTCCCTTTGTCACAATACAAGAACTCGTGGGCACTCGATGAAATTGCTGAGCGGTCGGGTTAGAACAGATAAAAAGAAGTACTTCTTCATCCAAAGAGTGATTAACACATGGAATTCACTGCCACAGGAAGTGTTGGCGGCTACAAGCATAGACGGCTTCAAAAGGGAATTAGATAAGCATATGGAGCAAAGATCCATCAGTGGCTATTTGCCACAAGGTATAGATAGGGGCTCTGGGGCAAGTGATGATCTGTCATCTTGGTGCTTGGGGGGTCAACAGTGGGAGGGCTTCTAATGTCCTGGCCCCACTGGTGGACCTCCTGATGGCACCTGGTATTTTTGGCCACTGTGTGACAGAGTGTTGGACTGGATGGGCCTTTGGCCTAATCCAACATTGGCGTCTCTTATGTTCTTATGACCTTGCAACCCTATTTTGCAGACACTCCATTGGTTATTGTTCATTTACCAAGTTTGATTCAAGGTTTTGATTATCACCTACAAAAAGTCTTTAATGGCCTTGGACCCATATACCTGCAGGACTGCCTCTCTGGCTATGCTATGCTGTGGAAGCTTAGCTAACTGAGACAAGTCTTCTAAAGGTGCTACACAACAAATGGTAAGACTGGCAGCTGCCAGTTCATGTGAGGTGGCTCCCACCTTGTGGTATGGCCTGCCTATTAGGTCTGGAAGGCTCCTGCACTTCTGTCATGCCATAGAATTTGCAAAATGGCAATATTCAAGAGGGCACAGAAATTTCTCCCTCCCTTCTTGAATAATAGTCCTGTGAAATAGGCTATGCTGAAACATCGTGACTGGCCCAGGGTCACCCAGTAAACTTTTGGATGAGTGGGAATTTGAACTCAGGTCTCAGATGGATCTGACTTTGATCACTACACTATAGTCACTTGGAAAGACATAAAAGTTTCTGTTATATAATGATTGTCTATTATTTTAAACACTGTAATGCTCTACAGAGTGACTATCATGCTACATATTTTGTATGTCAGTTTTTTGCCATTCACAGTTGGGTTTATGTTTATTGCTATTTGTGAGTGGTATTGAGCACAATAAATTTTGAGTGCTGTTTTATTAAATCAGACTAATTAAAATGTATTTTATTATGAACAGCAAATTCCTGCTTCAGTTGTGTATGTAGTTTGGCAGAGTCCCTCAGTATCTATATTTTAAGACACACAGTAATTTCTCAAGTGCTAGTAGGTAGTTATTATCAATAAGGAATCTGGCAGAAGCTCACACAAGTGCTCTGGGTAGAGCTCAGGGAAAATAAGACAAAGCTAACAGGGGAGGTTCTTACAAAGGGGTGGAGAAAAAGACAAAAGATAGGGGCAGATGCAGACAGAATCAGGACATGTTCCAGCTGGAGGGTACTGAGAGAAACTGGAGATGGACGGTTTTTAATCAACCTGTTTCTCTTTCCTTTAGCCACGGATCGTGGATTTCATGGGGTGGAATTTCTGCCTGAAGATTTCAGAGAGGCTCCCAATGAAAGAACAATGAGGGTGAATGAGAAATATTCC